GCCTGAAGAGAGGATGCAAAGAAGATTGGAGCCGGGCTCTTTTCAGTGGTGCTCAGTGACAGGATCAGAGACAATGGGCACAAACTGAGACAAGGAGTTTCCCTCTGAACATCATGAAACACCTTTTTCCTGTGAGGGTGATCAAGCAGTGGAGCAGGTTGACCTGAGAGGCTGGGGAATCTCCATCCTTGGAGATACTAAGAAGAGTGCCTGGACATGATCCTGGGCAATTGTCTGTAGGAGGCCCAGTGTAAGCAGAGTGAACAGGGTGACCTCCAGATGACACCCTTCCAACCTCCACCATCCCATAATCCTGTGACTCCTTTGATATAAGCATCAACTATATATCCTTTTCCTTTCACCTTTACAGAACAGCTGATTATCAGCAACAGCTCTGACATTTCATACTCCAAGGATTATGCATTATTTAATACTTACATTTTGCAGACTCTGTCTAGATTCAAAATAATTTTCAAATTCTTGTTCAGTGTAATCTTTTTATGGTGTTGGAAGCTATTTCCTTATTAGTGTGTTTCATTTATGAACACACAGGTACAGCTAACTACAATTCATGCTTTTGTCATGTTTCTACACAAAGAAATTCAAAGGAGAAAACTGTTGAAATATTGTCATGTGTCTTATATATGGACACAAGCATTTCATAACACATGCTTGACCATATGGAATTAGTAACTTTTATACATATTTTACCTGGGAATAAGATACCAAAAAAAAAAAAGAGGAATTTTTGTATGAATTCTAATGTTTTCCTTGTGATAATAAATCTTATCCCAAGCATTTCTGAAACCACATACTGAAATAATAAAAGTGAAAAATTCAGTTCAATACATCCAGTTCAGGAGCTGAAAGCACCCAACATTCTAGTATCTATCCTATTTCATACAGGTATTTTTTACTCCATCATGTCACTTAACATGATTCTTTTTTTGATGTTCACTAAAAAGTGGACATCGTAATAACATGCTGTGTTCTTCAAATTGTTTCAATCCTCCAGAAGTGCAAACATTGGGATTCTGGGTTTTGGATAACCAGACTAATGGAAATTCCCATGGAATGATCCACACAATTCAGCAACATCTCTAGCAGCCTAGAAGTGCTAAATCATCGTATTGATGGATCAGTTCCATTTTTGCTATAAATTTGCACAGATTGATTTTATTTTTGCAGCATGGTTTTTAGCCTCACTTAGCAGTAAGATAGGATTGAGGTTCCTTTGTTGTTGGCTAGGCCAGACATCAAAATACTTCAGATTCATGCAAAGAAACTGTATTTTTGAGGGGAAAGAAGACAGGAAAAGTGAGTAAAGGGGAAAAGAAGCACTTTCTTAATATTAGAGTTTGGCAAGTCCAAACTTCTTTGCATTTAAAATACAATTTTTCATTTGTTAGAAGAAAGGTTCCTTTAGCCTCTTCCTCAGTCAGAGAATCACTTTTTCTTTTGTAATGTAAGTGTTAAATACTCAACGTGGTCTACTTCATTCACTGCACAGTGTTCCTAAAGGCACATGAATAATACAGGGAAGAAATGTACTTCAGGATGCTATTGCTAAAACATGACTTTACATGTTTCATCTGTTTTCCCCCTTAGATACAACACAACAAACGTACACTAAATGCTTTCTTCTGGCTGGAGGGGGAACACTTAACTCCTTGCAACAGTAGAGAGGGACTGTTAAAAGCATTAGCTCTGTAAACCTGTGAACTGGAATACTAGTTCATAAAATATCTTAAATACTTCAAGAAATTAACTGCTGTTCACTGCCAAAGGAGCTGTTATTGAGAAATTCCTCCATTCTCCCCTTCATTCCAATGAACCTTTTACTGCTGGCCAGCTTCTTTCTTACATGTGGCCAAAAGAGAAGACCAGGCTCCTGGGAACCTTCTTGTGTAACCAGACACACTTTGTGCTGTTTCAAAGCCATTAGGCAGCAGCAAATAGTGTAATTCCATAGATATGACGAAACATAGGAGACCTAATTGTGTGTACAAGTATCAGAAATACACAAAAGATATAGTGAGACTGTTACTATGGGAGATTTAATACCAAGACTGCATCAAGAATTTTTTTAGAATACACGTCAGACACTAATTTGGTCCTCATCAGTCCTAGGGGTTTTGGATCAATCAAAATTCTCCATCTCCTTTTTTCTTTGTCCACGAAATTTCAGCAGTATGAATCGGACTTAATATAATTGAATGCTAAGTCAATTTAATGATTGGCTTGGGATGAGTTTGAGAAGATTTTACCATGAAAACATTACTCACATTTCCATAAGTAACTTTGAGGCAAAGCTCATTATCACATCATTTCCATTCTAAACTTTTCATTTTCTACTCTAAACTTTTAATCAGGCTAACACTAATTTAAAATCGTTCTCTGTGCTTACTTTCAGATTCATAGTATGTCTTGACTCAAAACATGTAATTGGTCAGTACTTTCTCGTATGCATGCCTGAAAGCAAAAAAAAGAGGCCAAAATTCTGGGGGAAAAAAAAGAAAAAAAAGTTAGTATATATTAATTTGAAGCAGAACCTGCTACAGTCTTTTTTCACTGATACTCTGGGAAACCTTTGTAGAACTGTCTAAGCAGCAAGCTGTTCAATTGGATGTAAGTGGAGAGATCAGGCTTTGGAATACCAAGAAAAGCTGGATGAGCATAAACACTATCTGGCTCTATCTATTCTGCAGAGCTTAATCATAAATTCAACCAGAAACAGTATTATTCAAAGATCTTTTACTCTCAGACATATCCATGCATCAGAAGCTGACAACAGTAAAAGCGGCACTCCTCCTTTCCTCCCTCATGCATGTACACAGTTTTTCTTTGCAGGACTTTTAAAACACTTTTTAAAACTAAAAATCTCACTGCATATGGGAGAATTTTGTGGTGTGTGCTTTTTCCTTTGAAAATATAGCTGTCAAATAAAATTCAGTTGTTAAATAAACAAATATTTATAATGCTGAAAATACTGATTACTTTCTAGAGTTCTACAGTAGCTATATGTGACAGAAGTCAGACTCATTGTACATATTTGATGTTTTTTTAAAAACACCCCAATGTAACCAATATATATTGTTAAATATTTTTGTCAGATGCTTCTAGAAATTAATTCTGTTACTGTACTTCATAATTCATTCTGTACTCAAATTCTGTGTGCAAGCAATGAAAGTTGAACTATGGAAATTTTCAGGGAGAGTGCAGCAGCTCCTACTTCAGAGCCCTATGTGGATAGTGTAAGTTAGAGATGTAACAGCTGCACATTTCACCAGGGATGACAGTCAAGTGGATCATCAAATTAAGGGAGTCTCCTATGACAAGGTACAAACACAGTTTTTTTGTACAAGGTACAAAACAAAGGACAAGGTACAAACACAGTCAGTCCCAGGAACAGACTTATTACAAAAGAAGATGCAAGCAGAGAGTACCAGGAGATTAACTACATTAGCAAAGACAGGAGTGGGCATGTTCCTTGTTATGTGACAGGATATGAGTACAGGCCTTTGAAGACCTCCCTTCTGGACACAGCCATTTCTGTACTTGTGTTCAGAATTTTCACATAGACATTTTTTTCTTCTAGCTGACACAAAATAGTTATGATTCTACTTCCCTTTAGGTCAATTCTTTAACTGTGCATTACTTACCATGGGAATTTCTTCAGGCCAGTTAAACATGCATATTCAAAGCAAAAGATGGGAATTATTTGCTCCTTTGCATTGATTACCTCTTGTTATTTATCATACTTTTTGGTAGATACTTAAATCGTGCCATAGCTACATTGTTCCATGCTTTTGGACACCTCCTTCATGTGAACCCTTCTGCATTTTGAATAAAGCATGCTTACATCTTCTGAACTATGCTGTCTTATGCAATTAAGCCAAACAATCTGTGGTATGCTGTCAGCTGACAACAACCTGCTAGGCAGGTTATCAGTTGAAATGAAGGAGGTATACTTGAAAAAATACCTTCAAAAAGCTGTATGTTCCCACTGGCAATATTAAAGGTCTATTTACACAAATAATACCTACTTTTTGTCCATCTGACTTCAAATACTGTCATGCCTAAATAGTCCTGAACTGGCATTCTGGACTGTAGACTCTAACAATGGATGGAAACTCAATGAAGTACTCAAACAATGGAAAACAGAGGGAGGAAGGGAGAGCCTAACACCATGCAGCAGTTTACACTTCAGTGTAAGCACATCGGTATATAGACACACAAGCATATATACAGAAACTAGACAATTAAGCAATGACTTCAGTGTATTTATTTCCATAATTTAAGAGATACAATTTCCATTTATTCATGCAAATTAAAATATTGATGTCTTCTTAGGAGAATTATTACATTTGTAAAGACGGTTATAACTCAGATCCACATCCATGTGGATCTCATCTGACCAATAATCAAAGATGTGGGTCTGGCTGCCTTGGTGGTGACAGAGAATAGGAACTGAGTATTCTCTCAGGTGCCATGACTACCTTCAGAGGAAGTATTGACACAAATGATGTTCCAGTTTTGTCTTGGTATTAAAGATTTTCTAATTTTATTCCTTCTTCTGTGTGAATTATTCAGGGAGTAGGAGTACAGGAGTGCTGCTGTATAACAGGTCTGCTTTTTCCAAGATGAAAAAGGCTATACTGTTATAAAAGCTCCTGGTTAATGCCAAAGATAAGTAACTGGCAGCTGGTTTCAGAAAGAAAGGTATATCCTCTATTTTTAGATTTTTATAAACTTACATAACAAAATGTCTTCTTGACAATGCAAACTGAACTTTAACAGAAAAGAAAAAAATTAGTATATTCTGTCCTACAACTTCCACATGTAATTTTTCACTGTAAGGCAACACCTATAAACAAATCATAAAATTGAGCAGACTGTTTAAAAGGATACAAACGAAATGCTTAGTAAACGTGGCGAGTTTTTTTTACTGATGCACAAGAAAACCGACTCTTACAAACCAATCAGCACATTGAAACAATATTCTCAGTGAAAATAAATGCATCTGTCTTTTCAGCAGGCAATGATCCTGCTGCATTCTCTAAGCAGCTCAGCTCTTATGGATATCCAGAAGTTAGGACAGCTCAGTTTTTCTCCACTGTTAACTACTAGGACCTTACTTCATCTACGCAGTTTCACTGCACATTACCTTAATACAACAGATGTCAAAATCTTCAAGAGAGTTTGGAGGAGGAAGGCATATAGGTCATTTGGAGACAAGGCTGCAGAATAAAATAAGTAGATGACTAAAATAATACAGATCTTATCTGTACCAGACCAGCAATTAGCTAAATTAAAATACCATCTTGCTGGTACATTTTTCTATTTAGGAGCAGACCTAACAGTAGGACTTAGCTGTAAATTAGTTACTTCAAAGCTTGTCAGATATGTGGTCTCTGAAGTGGAATCCAAAAACTTGTTATGCTCAGAACAAGGCCAGTACTTAATAAATGTAAATTGCCCCAGAAGAATAATCCATAGAGCTGAATACTAGAAAGTTATAAGGGAGAAGATAAACAGACATTAAAAAAACAAACCCCCCCCCCCCCAAAAAAAAAACCCTAAAACAACCAGTTCGGGGTTCAAGACTTACTCTCCCAAGAAAACCTTGTTACTTAAAGCCAGTAACTTCAAATGAAAAGAAATAAAATATTCTAGGAAACAGGGACTTGAGTTACCTAGGAATCCTAGCTGCTAAACTAAAGAGTCATATTCCCCCATTGACACTCTACTGCTGGTGCCAGATCTTGGGAATCAGATACACATGCAAATTAATAGAGCTCATTAAATTACCTTCTATCAGCTGAACCATGGCAACCAGCCTGGGGTACTCTTCTCCTATGGCAAATGAAAGATAAACACTCAGTAACTCACACCTGATGTCTATACGTAATGCGACTTAGCTGCTTGCTTTTCAGGCCATAACAGTCTAGGGCACCCCTGGCGAACACATATTCTTCGCTGGTGGTTCTGGTAAAAAAGTCTCTAAACCTACAAACACACAAAAACAAAACTAAAGACACTAAGTTTAGGTATTTCCATGGTTAAAGAGGGGTTCCTATTTGTATATAAATTTTGAACTCAAGTATTTTAAATATCAAGGTCCTTTTTAGGAACACTTGAACCTTATTGGACTTTAGCCAGAGTTCACAAGGCTGTGAAGGGAAGTTAGCGGGACCTGAACGGCTGGGAAAGGGAACTCGACATCGCCCCGACTCAGGGCATGGAGGCAGTGGCAGAGCTGCATTTACCCGGGGCGCGTTCCCCGCGCTCCCAGGGCCAGGACATGCCCCGCGAGAGTTCCCTGCGCCACCCGATGCAGGGCCGGGCAAGTTGGCAGACAAAGAACGGGACGCGCCGGTGTCCATCGTGCCGGGGCGCTGCTGTCCCCAGTGAGGCTCCGGGCCCCGCCGGGTTGCGGGGACGCTGCCGGAGCGCCCGAGAGAGCCTGTCCCCTGCTGGGGGCTGTCTCCTGCCCCTACGTCGGCCGAGCCCCCTGGCAAAGCTCGATGGAAGCAGGCGGGCTCACTCTGGCAGCCTTTCCCCCGTTCCTGCCCGCCGTCCTGCCCTACGCGCTGCCCCGCCGGACGCTTCCGTGCCGGATCCGCGGCCGGGGCCTGCCCGGCCCAGTCCGGCGGGCAGCGCGGCCAGGGTTAACCCTGAGGAATGCGGCGGGAGGAATGTGCATGCAGATGAGATGGATGCTAATCTCATGCTAATGAGCGGCGGCCGCGGCCGCCCGGGGCTCAGCCGGGCTCCCCGCGCCCAGACGGCAGCTGGGCTCCGCCGGCAGCCCTGACCCGCCGCGGCGCGGGCGAAGCGGCAGCCCCGGCATGGTAGACTGAGACGCGGCCGCGGTAGAGGGCTTCCCTGGGCTCCCGCAAGCCCCCGCTCCCGGCCTCTTCCCCGGCCCTGGTCGGGGCTTTTCCCGCTTCCCGTCTTTCTTTCTGTCCCTATGGAACAGCTACTCCCGCCGCCCGACCATGCCTAGGAAAGCGGGGAATGGGCAGCTTCCTTTACCCGATGGCTGGGAGGAGGCGAGGGATTACGACGGCAAAGTCTTCTACATCGACCACAACACCAAGCAGACCAGCTGGATCGATCCCCGGGACAGGTGGTGCGCGGGCAGGGAGGTGGCGAGGCCCGGGCGGGCGGGGGGCTCGGAGCGGCCCCGGGTGGAGGGACGGGCGGGGGCTGCGCCGCAGGGTCTGTCCCCTCACGGGACGGGGAGCACGGGAGCAGGAGAAACCTTTGCTTGCAGCCGGGCACACCGTGCCCTCCCTCCCACCGGCTACAGGCTTGTTTCTAAGCCTGTGGCGTGAGTTGGTGTTGGGGCGCGGAGGGAGGGAGAAGCCTGTAGAGTTCTTTCCGGAGCGGCCGGGGGTTGCTGGCGTTTAGGGAGTTCCCGACAGGTACCAAAGTTTGCGAGTCCCTCCCAAAGCGGAGGCGCTGGCTCCTCGCCCTCCCTCTCCCCCGGGCGCTGCGGAGTGGGGCCGCCTCCCCCCTCCTATCTGGCGGAGCATCCCGGGCGCCGGGTCCCCCGTGTTCCCCGTTCCCCCGGCCCGCCCCGGGGAGTGTGCGGCTGCCGGGGAACGAGCCGGGGCTGCCGGAGGCCTCGTGTGCTCGCTAGGCCTCAGCGAGCCCGAACCCGCTCAGCCCCGGCAGCCGGAGCCTGGCGTGCTTGCTGCCCCTCCCGGGGCTCAGCTGTGTGAAACTCCCTGGAAGTGCTTCAGCCAGTGAAGCACCCTGCGCCAAGGCTGCTCGTCCCGGAGCCCCCGGGGAAGCTCTGCCGGCTGGACACGGATGCTGACTCTGTGCGTCGTCTTCAATGACTGATTTAATAGCTGGACAAGATACCTCGTGCAAAACGTATCTTTCGTCCGAAGTGGTGCTAGAAAGTAATTAAACCCCAAAACTTTATGCGTATTATGAAATACGATGTTGCAACTGAAAACAGTGCAGTCTTATTATTTAACACCCCCCCCCCACACACTTTTAAAGGACATTATAAATTTATGAAACAAGCAGCACTGAATTATAAATGAAGGCCTTGGTTTATATTTCTCAGGTGAACTTAGAAAAGGTGGTCGTGTTGAAGCTTGCTGGCTGCAAGTTGCAGAGGGACGTTTTGGCGAGCATCATGTGCTGTGTAAGGCATACTGCTCAGTCTTACTTGCTATAACAGCAAATTCCAGTAGTGGCAAACTTCATGCTTAAATTCCTCTGAACTTCACAACATGTTAATTACCTTGTAAATATTAGTGAGGTGATAAGGTATACAGGACAATGTTAATTATTACACCTGGCATTCTTGGGTGATTTTAATGCAGGCAGTAGAAAACTTCGGTCTTTACTGTCTCTATAAATAGTGGATATGAAGTTTTGATTCATTTTAGACCTTAAATGTGTGCTTTCAAGGCGGAATAGAAGACAGTATGATTGAAGTAAAGCACAATGTGATAGGGAATGTACTTGTGATGCTGTCTCGATGTACTACCAATTTAATTTAATGCAGTCTGTAGTCCTGAAAAGTTCAAGACTATTCATATTTGATGGTAAAATTTGAGTCTTCACTGTCATTAACAGAGTAGATGGTGACATAAGACTTGTATGTTTGCGATCCCACAGGGGTAGGATAAATATTGTTTCATTGATACCTTACAGGTGAAAGGGAAACCAAGTCCTGAGCCTTTACTTCTTAGCTCTCATTACAGATTATAAAGACCTTTTTCAGAAGAGTAGTGTTTGTAATAATTGTTAACCTGTGTCAGTCGTGCAAAACAAACAAAAAGGGATTTTGCCCTAAGTACTTAGAGAATCCATGCTTTACTGTACATGGTTTAGCTGTGAAGCTGAATTGCCTGCACAGAAGAGAGACTGACAAGCCCATTTGATGTGTAACCTACAGTATTTGTATTTACAATATCTCTGTTTGCAGTCTATATTGGTGACCTGTTTTGGAAAAACTAATAAGAAATTAATGAAAGTCTTGTGATGATTTTGCTTTAGATTCAGTTTTATCTTCCATGTATTTAGAGAATATACATTTGGAAACCATACAGGCCATTATTTGGGCTTGCTGTCAGAAAAGTTGAAAAATGATTTTCCAAGTTTGTCAATACAATGAAATCTAAATTAATGTCTAATTGTCAAAATGAAGGTAATGGATTCTAAAGAATGAAAACATGTTGCCTTGTCTGGTGATACTTTTGGACTTCTTTTTTTCCCCAACTATTTTTTCTCATAGACATAATAAAGTTTCCATGATGTACCTGTGGAATAGTATACTACACAGGTTTCTAAAATGTTTCATTGGTAAAGCAAGTGTAAAATAGCTAAGTTTTTACCAGCGATATTCCTTCTGCTCTTGTTACACTGCGTTCTCTGGATGATTACATAGAAAAGTCATGCTTGATATTCTAAAATATTTTTTATCCTCTTTGATTTAGAAGATACAGATACTGAAGGCTAGGACTGCCAGACATTGGCCATATGTTTGTAAATTGCTAGGTGTATCTGAGCACGGTTAGGAACTTCTTTATTGCTGGTTTAAAATATTCATATCTAGAAATAAGAGGGCAGTTGAAAATGCCATATTTGAAAGCTTCTTGGAAAACTGTTTGTGGTTGTTGTGGTTTTAAATATTTTTTTCTCATGTTCTCTTCTAGAACATGTATTTGTTACTGCTTAGGTGGTGCAGGTCTGTTAATACAATTATAGCCTTGCATACAGCTGTGGAAAAACACATCAACTTCAAGCTTGGGACTAAGTTTTCTGTTTTGCCCACTTTATGAATCTGAATAATCCCACTGATGTTAGAGAATCTCACACTTTTAAGGGCAATAGTGACTTAGCTTGTGTTTTAGGAATGTTGTGGAAGCTCAGGAGTTTTTAATGTTTTCCACTGTTGACCAGTGATTTTTCTCTCCAAACACTTACTGTTCTGTGCTGATTTGTTTTGAAGGCTGATGGCCCAAAAGAGAGGGCACTTTAAGATCTATAATTCAGATAGACAGAGAGACATAAAGGCAAGAATGTGAGAGTTGTAGCAACATTTTCACTCACTAAATATATAGATGTGATTTCTTTGTTCATGACTCCCTCAAGCTACAGCAAGCTGAGAACTTGCTGGTCATGACAGTTCTTCTGGAGCTGGCTTATAGTAAGCAGGGAAATAGCCCGAAGTATCAATTTTATCCTACTACTACTTGATGAAAATATTAAAAGACAACTATGGACTGAAGAGGATGAAGTAGATGAAAAGGGGAGAAAGGGTTAGAGGAATGCTTTTTTTTTTTTTTTTTAGTTCCCTTGAAACTCTTTCAAGTTCTTGGAATACTGAGTTATTGTAAAGTATTCCTTTAGGTTGGTTTGTTTCTGATAATTAATAGGGGCTTGGGGTAGGATAGGAATTTGAAAAGGAAAATTTTTCTTTTTTTTCCGTCATTCAACACATTTTAAGTAGGCCTCATGTTTGTTATATTCCATAGTGGAACCAAGAGTAAGTTCCAAGGAGGAGTGAAATGGGAGCTAGGAATCTCAGTAACCTGAATTTTTCAGCAATTGAATGATGTTTGGTTTTCTTACCATGAATTCAGGGCTTCTCATATCTTGGTTTTTACCTAATAAATAGTCCAATGCACACTGCTGATCACCATTGACTCAAAACAGATGGTATTTTTATAGCTTGCCTAAAATGAGTTCTGCATCGCAAATTCTGAAGCTGTGAGTGATCTTTGTTTAAATCTTTTTCTGCACTCCTGTTCCACTCCTGGCAGTGGTAAGGAATGAGGTGCTATGAAAACAAAACTATCCTTCCTGTTCTCACTTTTCTTTTCACTGAGGAATAAAATCTTAAAAAAAATCCATTTGTACATTTGAAATAGTTATCACTATGCCTCTGCTACAATGTTTCAAGTGCTTGAGAAGCATTGGATGTGCAGAAAACCAGAGAACTTTACAAGTTAAGAAATTGTGAAAGAGTTTGTGAGCAGGGAATGCAGTTTCCATTGTTGCTTTCATCTTTTGGGGAGGTGAAAACACTACAGTTTTTAGCTTGGGATTCTGTAACTTGTGCTAGATTTGTCTGATTTAGAAAATTTACTAGGTTTCAGCAATTAAAGTCATTTGCCCTTTTTCCATAGAGAGGAAGGGTAGTTTCTTCCTTCTCACTGGAACGTGCTTTCTCTTGTCTTGTGAACAGCAGAGACTGTGAGGACTGAAGACACTGAAGTTAAAGTTGTTTTAGCAGGGGGACTTTCATCCTTTCTCTTTCATAGACATTGCTGTAGCTCGGGGGGCATGGTAAAAGACTTTCAGTCACAGCAGAAATAGGAGTCATGTAAGACATTGGGGTCATTAAAGATAGCAAATAAGAGGCAAGCAGAAATGAAATAACATGGTGAGAGGCATCATCAGAGACTCAAAAATACATCTGGATTGATTCTTTCATGTATGTAAGAAAGCTGTGCTGTGACAGATTAATAAAATAGTAAGTGTTAGTTATTACAGTTTGAAAGGGATTGATCTTAAAATTAAGTGCTAACCTCAACACTGATGATTTACCACTACAGCAACTACCTGATAAAGGCCTTTCTTTAGGCTACTGCTTACTAAGAATGAATTTATTGGCAAACCATCACTGGTTTCTCACATCATTTCTCATTCCCTTTTTATCTTCCCTTTGCTTGTTTGCTAGTAACTGAGGAGGGCTTTTATGTTTTTGATGGTGTGGAGCTGCAAAATGATTGTTTCAATATACTTTATGACATTTGAGCCATAATAAGCAATGGTCAACTTGTTCTTTTGAAAAATAAGTAGAGAATCCTTTGATGGCACTCCAAGGTGTACAGCTTGAAATCATCCTGTAGTGAGATAGGGCAACCATTTTTTCCTTCAAATATCTTCTTCTTCCATGTTTCATCCTCTAGTATCATTTGCTGGTTTTTATCCCAGTTCCACCTAATTTATTCCTGCCTCCTTGTCTGCTCAGGAATGTGCATGCTCCCTGTGAAACTATCTCATTCCGATTTCAGTGACAGGTTGAGGACTGTTTTTACTTAATTGATC